GGTCACTAGAAAAAAAAGAATCTTTTGAATTCTTTGATTTGAATCCCAGTTTTTTTTTTAAATGAAAATAGAGTATTTCGAAAAAAAAGCTTGTTCTCTTCTTTGTGGATATTATTTTTTTATTTAACTTATATATTCCATAAATATGTTACATACGTGTGTCCTTTACTTCGGAAAATGAATCTATGTCATATTTGTTTGGAGTGTTTTGCGTAAAGCGTCTATAAATGTGCATACTGAAAAAAAGCTGATTTCCCCGAATTTATCGTTATTTTCAATTGATATTCATCTCATGTTTGGTTTCGATGTGACATATTTGAAGTGCCTGTTTTATTTATAAAGAATACATATCACAAAACTACACACAAACACACTTGTCTGACTCATCACATTCTGTATGGTGTTTGTGTTGTTGAAGACTACATGATGAATTCATGGTGTATATTCATCATTAGAGTAGAAAAAAGAAACGAAACCATCATAATGTGTTCATATGTTGAGACTCATCCCATTGTCTGGTGTATATATTCATCGTAATGTGCAAATAAAATGAGAAGAAGCTTTATCGCATTTTCCGCAAAGCATTTGAAAATTGGTTGTGTATATATTTTGGTTTATATACATTTGCTAAGTAGACATAATATCGTATGAAATAGGTCGTGTTTTTTTTCTCCGTTCATCGTGTCGCTTCCTCTTCAGCGCGTTTTGCTGCAATTTTCAACATTCCAAATACTGACGAGAGCGAGAGCAAGAGAGAAAGAAAAGGCGAATCTGTCAGCCGTTAATATGCTTTCCGTTGTGCAATTGCGTCCTATTCGTTTCGATTCGCTGACTAGCAAATAAGCCGGTGTGCATACGATGAATATAAATTTTTATTACTTTTGATGGTTCATTTTATTTTCATAATATTAGAAATTAGGTAAAAATGAACATCATATCCGCATCGATCGTCGACGAGAGCACGAATAAAACGCGTTTCGTTTCAATACCAAAATACGGAATAAACCATCGCCACCACCGATTCCACCAGAACGATACATAGATATACATTGAGAAGCGTCGGCAAAGACGAATGGAAAAAAATGTTGTTGAATTTTTATTAGCAACACGGTTGCTTCGTGCGCTTTATTTTAGTGGGAACAGAAAAATTGGATACATCATTAACTTATTTATGTGTGTATTTTTTGATACGCGAAAAATGCTACTACTACTTTGGGCATCGAGCACAAAATGCCGATGTTGTTGTGCCGCTTTCCATCTTCAAACATAATTTATTACTGTTGGTGCTTCTCTCTTTTTTTTATTTTCTTTGCTAGAGAAATGGCGCGCAATAGCACACGTATTCTGAAGTGGAGGAGCCCGAAAAAAAACGCCAAGAAATAATCATTTTCACTTGCTGAACATACGAACGACGATGTGAAATGAAATAGGCTTACATAAAAACCATCTTTACAACATTTTCACTACTGATGCCGTACTCAAGATACGAAAGTGGTCGGAAATGCCAGACAATCCGAATGAACTACTAAATAGCAACTGTTTTCCCCCATCCCCTGTATTCAATGCCTCTAATTGTTCGACAAAACGAAAAATGCCTTAAAGCAAACAAGACGAAACAACCATTTTAATTTAGAGTATTTGTGAAATACCTTCATGACCATTTACAACATTGTTGAATTCGATGGAATGCTTGGACCTCACTTCATGGGGTTGGGAAACTTTTCAAAAGATAAATCGATTACGTTCTAAAAGGATTTCTAGATAACATTTTCTCCATTTGACTGCGTCAGTTTGTATCATTAAAATCAGATGAGATGAGATGGAATAAGTTCAAGCCATCGGTCAATAGTATTTAGAATAAAGTCAACAAACTTTATTGACAGTTTTCATTTCACAGGCATTGACCGCCTACTGATATAGCAATGATTACCCTTCATTTGTGGTATTTCCATTTCAAACAAGTCCAAAGTACGTTTCACACAAAACTCTGAGGTTAAGCTCATTTTTGCATATCGATCCAATGAAATTTAAATCACTTCGCATTGAGGAAATACAGCATTTAAGCTAATTAACTTATATCACCTCTTCAGTATCAGGAGTCGGATACACCGTTGTCTGAAAAATACAAAAAACAAACAATCTTGTGCATGTGCTGCAAAATCCAGGCTCGACGTTGCAGCGCTGTATCCTGTTACCCCGTTATGTGGTGATAATTTTAGCAGCAAGCGATTTTCACTTGAATGCATTTCTCCCCGCCTTTGAATTAATTCACTTGTAGTCTATTCAAAAGTTATTTTCGCTGAATAACTGAATGCAAGACCTTTTTGTTTGGCTTTGAGGTTGATTGTTATTGCATTTTCAACTGTATAATGACTGGTTCAACATGAAAATTGCGCCACTTAATCGACACACGGTAAAAAAACACCCATTGAATGTATTTTGTTGTGTCCCTCTAAAAAAGTTTCGATTTGACATTTGTGTTTGTGACAATCAGTTCATGAGCGTCATGTGCAGGTAGCATATGGTCGACAGTATGGAATCATGTGGTGTTCATGTCTTCAACAATGCTGTACACCAACTTAAAAGTACAATTGAAATGTCTTTGAAGCAACATAAAACGGAAAACGAAGAAGAGGAGGAAGAAGAAAAAAGCACAGCGGCACTGGCATCAAAGAGGAAGTTTTATTGACACAGACGCTTGAAAAATCAAAAGAAACAAAGGCAATTCCCCCGAACCGATTGCATTGGCACAAAGAAAATTATCGGCGCACAAAATGAACACAAACAAAAATCGATGGACTTATCGATTCGAAGCGAGTGAATTTGCTCTTAATTTTTCAGCTGAGTATACGTGTGTGTGTGTGTGTGTGTGTGTGTGTGTGTGTGTGTGTGTGTGTGTGTGTGTGTGTGTGTGTGTGTGTGTGTGTGTGTGTGTGTGTGTGTGTGTGTGTGAATGTTTCTTTCTCTTTCGTTCACCATTGTTCGTTTGTGGTTCGATGTTGAACCAAACTCCGTATACACAGACTAAGTTCAAAGCTGAAAATTCAACTACGTGACATGCTTACCGAACGCTGCTGTGTTTGGTGTTTCAACTTTTGTCCGCAGTGCGTTTTGTTGCCGGGCACTTTATATCGATTCAGAGAGTTCACATCGTGAATTGAATTCAATCGTGCACATGCAGTTTTTGTTATAGCCTCCAGGGTGTACAATCGAAATTCGCACAGAATCAAAACCCAAAGTAAAATAGCACAAATGAAATGAACGCGACGGCTATCATAATACCGACAGACTTTTGAAACGATGCCATTTAAATTCCGGTTTAATTGTTTGCACGGGCTTTTTCATTGACCTCAAAAGCAATCCACACAGCAGCAATATGTGTTTGCTTTATTTTGAGGTTTGCCGATATCAACTTTGTTCATGACCGTTCAATTTGCAAAAATTTAGGAGATGATAAAAAAAAACTTTTAACATAATTTTATGAGGTGTGCCCGACAATTGCAGGTATTACGAAGTCTGTTCGATGAAATATCAGTTGTGTTCAATGTTAGTTTTTGTGTCATCTGTGTGGAAAATTACATTTATCAGATAACCGCTCAAAATTAGAAGTCATAATTTTCATTGAACCTTTAAATGCTGTTCAGTTCTTCGAATATTTTCACTTGCTAGCTATGGACAGGACGGAAATACAAACTTTATTTCCAACTATAAATTGATAACATTCATCTTCTAGATGGCTTTGATTGCTATAAGCAATTAAATCTGTACTGTTTTGATGGATTGGCATAGTTGCGCGCCGATGCAAACACGTTTCAAAACCAATCACAAACAGGCGGCGGTAAATGTTGAAATCGAATGTCATAAACATTAAACTCAATTGCTTTTCGATCCATTTAATGTATCTCCTTTTGTTATCGATATCTATTCATGGACGGAAAGGAAGGGATATATAACGAAGCGGAAAGCAATGATGACGATATGCTGAGCTTATAGAGATAAATCTTTCAATTGCAAAACGCACACTCGCAACACATACACATTGGGATTTATATATGGCACATAATCAATGATGCTCCTTCATTCAGGACATTGATTTTAATGTGAACCAAAAGAATATGTTGTGCTCAGTGCAATTTAATGTCTACAAATTTGCAGCACTGTATGACAAATATGGGTTCAGAGAGTGTTGACGCAAAAGAAAGAATCAAATCAATGGAGAGACGGCAGCAGCGAAGATTGAAATGAAAATAGATCTTGGGCAATACAGTGGCATTAAGTTTGAGTAAAATTTCCAATATTTCATCTTTGAAAGGAGTGATAGAAAAAAAAATGCTCGGATAAAAATGAATATGGGCTTTTGTGTGTGGATTCGTTACATATATGCCAGGCCGTGATTTTATCGTATCGAAACATTGCTTTATGATCGAAACCATTACGGCATATTCTCTAAATGCGTTATCGATGAATGAAAATAAAAACGAACTGCTATACGTGTATTCCAATAAAAAAAAATAAATAAAAGAATGCGTGTATGGACTGGTGAGAGTGGTGTTTGGGTGAAATATAAACGACATCGATAACCGTAGCGAATGGAAAGAAATGATGAACATTTGGTGTTTGTGTGGCACTAAGAAATTATGATGAATTCGCGTCGGCTGAACATTAAGGAGGAAAACAAATGCCACAATCGAATGAATATTGAATAAGAGTTTCGATTCAAGTTGGTACAGATTGATCAGACGCCTTTATGGCATTTCAAATATGTATATACATAAAAACACATTATTTTCAATAGCATGGATATTTTGAGGATCATAGATTTGATAAAATGCTGTACGGTGATGTCATTGATTGTGGATTTCACTTTCGTTTCTGTCATTATCTTGAAGCGCTGCCAATCGTACATTCATATTCATATCCATATTCATGTGCTCCATTGCCATTTTCATATCAACCATAGAGATGATCCACATCGACACGATTTCTATGTGATACCGTTTCACTTTTCTTTTGTTCTTTGTATTTTGGTTCTTGTGGTTAAATGTCAGCGATGTGATTTCATTTGAATACCGTCACTGAAATTGGAATGTGAATAAAGTCTCGAAATGTTATAAAACCAATATTCGCATTTCGGTTTGATGTGGAATGTTGCTGCTTGTTTTCTCTCTCAAACTCTTTCTCGCTCTCTCACTCTCACTCCTTCGCTCTCTATCTTTCGCATTCACCAGTATCGAATCGATACAATGATGCGACAGATCAAATAAGGAAATGTATAAGCGATTGACGGCTAACAGTGAGACGGCGGCGTTCAGAAAATGTGTAATTGGATTTGTGGGGAAAACGCAAAAACCAATATCATTACACTCTTCGCATTTCCGCAGTGTATTCGGTGACTGAATAATTTCAGCAGATGTTCAATATCGAGATGTTGTCGTTGTTGCCGTTGCCGTTGCGGTGTCATACTGAAGCGCATTTTCGCCATTCAAACTTTTTTCTGACACATTGCAATAATCGCATTTCTGCATTTTGTGTCATTCTCTATCTCCTCGATATTCTTGTGAAACATTACCGATAAATATGTGTCAAGTGACATACACATCTCGCTAGTTTCATACAAAATTCATAGCGAAAATGCATGAAACATTCTGCTTCGCGCTCTTGTTTGTTCTACTCCACATTATGCGGTTTAATAACATAAGTAACGTTCCACAGTGTCACTGTGTATTGGACATCCTTGCAAAATAGAGCAAATATCTATTTAAGCAGTTGAATCGCTACAAAAACTTGCCTGTTTTCCTCCCAGCTTCGATTGCATCGATTCAAATAACATTCGAGAGCTTTTTTCCACAAATAGAACGTTTCAACGGTCGCATTCCTTATTTATGCAGGCATCAAATAGCAAATCCCATTCGATTCTCGATGATGCAGAAGTTGGTAGCAGTCGACTTCAAAGCGGGTTTTCAATGAATTTCAAACACAAATAGAGTTTTTTTGAAGCATTTTAAGCATCAAATGTAAAGTCTTCTTCCATCCATGAAACTGTTATTATCAATTTTATTGGATCGGTTTATTTCGAATATTCCGGTGTAGATGTTCAATAGAAGTTCATAGAAACTGGTCGAAAAAACTGGTATAAACTGGTATAAAATTGAAATTTAAATTGTTTATACCAGTTTATACCAGAGTTTATACCAGTTTTTCGACCATAACTCTTATATTTTCATAAGCTTTCTGTGTACCAGATTTCATCCAAATCGGACAAAAAATATTTCTGGCCATTTTTGGCATTTTTTGACCAAAAAGTCAAAAAAATCGTATATTTAGTGAGAAACTGTTTTATAACTTTAAATGACAATGTCCATATCACTTAAAAATATACGCATCGTTGAATATGGACTTTACTCACAACCAAAGTGAACGAAGATGTCAGAAATGATCGATTCTGAAAATATCTATAGAAAAGTTCATTCTCAGTCAAATGTGTAGATTATTCCAATTTTTTTTATTGTGAATATTCCAGTTTTCATGAACAAAAAGTTTCTATTTTGATCATAACATGGACATAGACCTCACTGACAACTGAAAATTATTCGTTGAATGCGTGTAAAATTCCATTTATTCGACTAACAACATAAATCAGTTTGAGATTGGTAGGTTTTGTGTGTGTTTGTCCATTTGTTATCGTTAATAAATCAGCTTGTAGCGTTTGTGAATTGAATTGAGTCGGGGCAAGTTTTCCGTTTGCGTAATTCAATCAAGTCCAATTTCATTGTACAACATCACAGACAACCTAGAGTACTTAAACACTTAAATATTCCACTTTCGATGGAGTTGAGCAGCTCCAAGTGTATGGCATTCGATGCAGTCAGTTGAAACCATAAATCTCAATAGCTAGTACCTATATATATATATATATGTGTAAATGTTACGGGGCTTCAAAAGGGTTGATTGTTGACAATATTTTCGAGTGTGTGTGTGTGTGTGTGTGTATTTCTATGAGTTACAGTGTCGCCTTAGGACGGGTGTGTTTGTTTGACTTGAGTACGATGTTTGCCTTCGATACACTGGATAATTTGGGGCAAATTTTCGTTCAAATAATACCTTAACGGCTTGCTCATAAGATGGTGGATCTAAAATGCCGAAGTTTTGCGCATATTCAAAAAGGAAATAAAATAGTGATGCAATAAGTTTTCGCTTTATAGTTGAATAACTTTTGGGCATTTTGTTGCTAACTAACCGTTTTGCGGATATGGAATTGCCGGTTCAGCATCTGTAGTTTTGATGTCTTCGGATGCTGGTGCGCTCGGTTGTTGCGGACACACCACCTGTTCATTGTTTGCTGAAGTTGTACCCGTACCCAAATTTCCATGTGCCACATTCCCATTCGCATTTGCATTTGAATTTGGATTTTGGTTTGTCGAATGCGTGATGGCATTCATGATGGCCACATATTCGGGTGGTTGGTCTAGAATCGGATATGAACCGATCGTTATTGGAATCGTTATTGTTGGATTTATGTGGCAGCATCCTGTCAAACCCTCAATCTGGTTTCAATTAAAATGAAACAAAACAAAATACACATTCATATACATATTGACTCAAGCAAAACCGAGACCGTAAACGAAATACGGAGTCAGATGGATATTCTCGTCAAATCATGCTCACTCTTAAATGGTATTTAACATGCACAATTTTGCTGGTGGTAACATCGGTCGGAGGTGTTGGCGGAACCAGAATATTTACTGTGTACGCTTGTTTTTGCTGTGGAAAACAACCTCTCGTTTGAACCTCTGCGATTGCATCCCTTTCGATTTTATGTTTCGGACTGTTTTCATAAATAAAAAACTTGACTTCCTGTTACAAAAAAAGAAGAAAAAATTGAAGGAAAAAACATTGGTGAATTGCACTCCGGTGGCAGAAAAAAAATTGTGTTAAAACAGAGTCAAAGTGCAACAACAGCCAAAACGGTATTCAATTAACTAAATTATGTTCACATGCTGCGCTAAAACCGTTCTCGTTTTGCTTTCCATATAGTACGTTTGCAATTCGATCGATTGCAGCAATTGAAACCGTTTTTCTTCGTCATTTGCAAATTCACAGTTCGACACGGATTTCCATCAGCCGAAGGTCGAGACCATTAAATTCATCATTCAACTCACTTACTCGAACGATTTGAAGTATGAACGCTTTTACATTTTCGTTGCTGGCATTTGTGAGCTCCAAATCGACATTTATCATTTGACCAGGTGTGTATCCACTAACTGGCACCGTTGCTATCATAAACAGTGGATCCGATGCACAGCAACTAAGCAAGCAGAATGGATTAAAGCGTTTTGTTTCTTCTTCAACAATCGGATGCTGTAAACAACATGAGAGCAAAGATAAAATAGATGAAAAGAATGTAATTGATTCGGAATTATTGTTTTCCTTCGGTAGGCATTCGAAACGTTTTATTCATGAAAATTGAAACGAAGAATTACCCGTAATGTCAAATCATGATTGAGGTTTAACGGTTTGATAACGGTAAATGTTTCTTCGAATTTTTGATCGGGCCATCGTGGACGATCCAAAACCACTTGCAATCCATAACGAACGTGACCATGCTGGGCTTCGAGGCTTGTTGGCACACCCAACGGCAAAAACACTTGAAATGCGTATGTGTATGTGCCGGGCTCAATTGTTAATTCACCTGTTTGATAAAATTAACAACAGCACATTTCAAATTTAATATTTACTCAACAAGATTAATGCATTAAACAATTTACTAAAATTAGACATGAGTGTGTTTTTCCCCTTGAATAAACAGGTAACAAATGATTACCATAAATCGAGTTAATCCTTTGAATGTGATAAAAAAAACGGCTACACATTTGACAAGTACATGTTGGACTTGAAAGCGAAAAAGGTGTGAAATAAATCTCATAAATTTTAATTATGACATATGATTTCGATGTGGAGTTTCTAGTCATTTGTTTCCAAGCCGACACTTGTTCATTCGTATTCATAGAATCATCAAGAAGAAACACAAGTGTCAGCAAACACCTATCGCAGTTCACATGTTATTAATTTGGATTTTTTTTCGTTGCTTAGTTGGTCAATATGAAATATGGGCTAATTCCATCATGACAAAAACAAAGGAAAAGTTCAATTTTGTTCATTTTATAAGCACAAATACACATGACAATACACTTGTTATATCTTGATGAAGAATCACGTGTTTACTTGACTTCCTTTGATATCTGAAGCTGAAGTGCTTTCAATACTAATTAGTAAATCATTAACAGTCTATGAATTGCGATATGTGTTTTATTTTGAATAGAAAAAAAAAATGAGAAAAAAATCCGTATGAAAGTGAAAACTGATTCGATATATGGTTGTAAGGAAGAAGGTGATATTAGGTGATTATGGGATAAATTCCAAGAAAAACCGTAAAGTTAAATAGAGCCATTAAGAGAGAAAGAGAAAACAAAAGCGTCCACATTCAAATTGAGTGCTTACCGGTGCGATCACCGAATAGGTATTGGCGTTCTTCCAAATAGATTTCGGTTGCGGTGTGCGATTCTTTTTTGCTTCCAGTGCCTTCAGTCCAATAGGAATACGCTCTACCCAGATAGTCGACATAAATTCCTTTGTTTCCATCAACAAACCGGTGATGGTGTTTTTTTCCATAACAACGACAATGCCGAATGTCATCGAACAATGCACATCCGAAGTGATGAAAAAAAAGAACCGGGCTCAGTTATTGGAAAATTATGACAAAAGGAAGTGGATAATAACAATAAAAATGCAATGAAATTCAAAAAATCAATCAGAATAAAAGCGATTGAGGCTCAACCACAAATGGCTTATGCATGAATGGATTTTATATCATCAATTGTTTTTTCATCATAATTTTTTTTTTCAACTTCGGGTGGTTGACATGTTTCAGACGAATTTTACAACCATCAAATAAAACACTGAACATGACATGAATTTTTTACCCACTTGATTCACAAACGGCTGAGCAAACAAACAAAGGAAAATGCCAATTCAATGGGAATAAAGATAAAAACGATACAATTTTGCGTTGAAATTAGAGTAGATGGATTACCTCGGATGGTTTTTTCCTTGCCTAAAACTAATTGGACACGGCCGCGAACCACTTGACCGCCATAATAAACACAGTCAGGATTATCGTCGAATGTAATTTTACAGGTAGTTGTATGCGGCATATTTCTTCTCTGATTGATTTTTAGCGTGCGTGTATGACTGATATTTTTGGTTGAGTTGCTATTTGCCCAAAATACAACAAACCACAGACAAAAAACGCTTGCTAAACGAACAAACGAAAAAAACAAACTTCGCACCAATATATCACACGTTATCTTTTTTGTATTTATTTGATTTCTAAGCTAGGGCTGTAAAGATAATACCGAAAATAGCACAGAATCACATTTTTATGCGTAACAAACAATATACTACTGAGTTCACGCTGTTGTTTCCCCCTCACTCTTTCTTTGTTACGTTTTTACGGAATCGACAGCCACAGAAAGATATTCACAACATCAGCATCAATGTAGCTGTGAAAAGCCGCGAAACTCAATGAAATGTCGAACATAACATGCATACATACGAACACAAAAATGCAATCACAGTGAAATACATTAATTATTTAACGACAACTGAACACAAATTGATGTGACAACAAAGAAGAATCAATGGATTTGAACCGCTTAAAACTAGCACAGTTGAACACAGAATACGTTGTGATTTAAACAAAATTTTAAAAAAAATGAAAGAAAAAATCCATCAATTTTAATAATAGCTATACTTGAATTGCATTTACAATGAACTTGTGTAGGAAAAATATAATTTCATGTGATAGTAGTCTCGGATTTTATGCGTCATTCGCTAAAGCCAAAATGTTACAGCGACAGCGAGCAAAGCTATTACTGTGACACTAATGAATGCAGCGCGTTTTTATTTTCGAACGACCGAATCACCAATAATGCTGTAATCCCAGATCCAAATGTATTATTACAAACCATCACACACGCTTCACTCTCACGAATACAGCTACAACATCTTATCTTTGAGTAAAAGAGAAAAAAAATCACCTGTGTGTTCGTCTGATTAACATTCAGATAGCAGCGATATCAGTTTTTTAAACTACACGAAGATCTAATCGACATTTGTATAGCCCAAAGACGACAGTTTTAATTGAGTGTGTATGTGCGTAAGATTGTGTGTTAAATTCATTCAAGAGTAATAGCCGTATGTTTGTATGTATATTGATCAATCAGTGACTTCAACACTGTGGATGGTATTGACTGTAGCCGCGTTAGTCTGCTAGTTTGAGTGCGAAGCGACAGTTTATCTTCGCTGTGTCATAAATCTACACACCGTTTCGTCAAAACCTATGCGTTGAACTATCTGTCAAACAAAGGTGTAAATGAACGCATCTAGTTTCATTCGTTAATGTTCGCTGATTTATGTATTCGATAGACGATTTTTGCATTCTATAGACGATCAGTGTAATGATAAATACAGTTGCGACTCTCAATATAATTTCAAATCGATCAAACTCTTTATATATGATTCTTTTTTTTCTGTTTGATTGGAACAGAGTGATTTGACTTGATTCAGTTCAGAATAATAACTAAATTTAAATAGTATAAGGAAAAATCGGAAAAACCAATATTATTTCATTTTTTAACATTCCCATTTAAAATGCCGGTGATATTTTTACATAGTTTGAAACATTTGAACACGCCTTGGTGGACAAACGATGATGCATTATTGAGAAAAAATTATACAAAATGGACCTTTGGGATTGTGTTTCCTTTTTTTTCAACAAATGACTAGACCATACTCCGAGCATGTATATGGAGTTTCAATACATTAGATTAGGTGTGAATATTTAACTCCATCTAGAACTCTTTCCAGTAGTTGTGTTTTAGTGAGTAATATTACCTAGGCTGAATATAGCGGTTTCAACTACTTTTGGGCGAAATTATCTCAAAAGTAAACTGCAATGAGTTATTTGTTATGCGAACGCTCGAACGGCCACTGTTAATGTGCGCGCAAATACACGCACTCGAGTGTACAGGTGGGCGTTTTGCGATTACTTAATCACTTGCAAAATCATTTTTAAAATGATTAAGATGCCACTTAATCACTTAATCGCAATTAATCATGATTAAGTGATTGTGCAAGAGATTAATTTTAATCATCGGCGATGATTAACTTGTTGTATTAATCATGATGTCGCCGTGGTTAACTGCACCAACTTGATCATGATTGTGTAAAATAGTTAATCATGATTAAGTTGTGATTAACGAAAAGATTGTGTAGAATCAATTAATCGTCGCAAATTTTACGGGCGCAAACCGAC